GCGCCCGGCCCTTAATGTCCCTTTGATGTATTATAGGACAAGCTGTGGGAGGCAGGGCATCTGATTTTCAGAGTAAGGCAGGCAGAATTGGTGATTTTCAGAAAATCAAGTAAATCTATTGACTGAGTCTAATGCTAGACTCTCAGTCAGCCATTGAACTGGAGTCTGCTAAAGAAAGGTATCTGGAAAAGGAGGGATGAACAGACTAAATTTAGATGCAGAGTTTAAGATACTCTTAACTTGACAATTTATGATATTCATCAGAGCCAGTTGCTGTCCTTAGCACTACTCTCCTGATGGATTCCATTTCTAACTATACATTGCCTCTTTGAAAGGAGCTGGGTGGAAGAAGACAGATACATCAGTTAGAATGCCTTCAGGAACAAGTATTAATAAAACCCAATCAAAATTGTGCAAACAAGGAAATTTTAGTATTTTCCATAATAAAACCCCTGAGATATGATAGTTTCTCTAGTTCCTCTTGTAGTTACAAATGACTGAAGCAGTTTTAGGCAACATAAGCAGATACAGCAGTATCTTAGAAAGAAGTGAAACTATCCGTTGTGTCCTTTCCTAAGAGTAAAAAACTATTTCTCATAACCTCTGCTCATTCTCCAGAGCTGGATCGTATACAAAACCCTAAACAGGTCACCTAGAATGGACGTGACATAGGGCAGAGATGGATACTCAAATGAAATAAAGGGCCAGGTGTGGTGGCTCACACCTGTAATCCCAACACTTAGGGAAGCTGAGGTGGAAGGGTCGCTTGAACTCAGGAGTTTGAGGTTACAATGAGCTATTAATATAATTGCACCACTGTACTCCAGCCTAGGCTACAGAACAAGACCCTGTCTTTAAAATAGATAGATAAATAGATAGATAGCAAGACCCTGTCTAATAAATAAATAAATAAATAGATACATACATAGATAATAAATATTCTGCACTCCAGCCTAGGCTACAGAACAAGACCCTGTCTTTAAAATAGATAGATAAATAGATAGATAGCAAGACCCTGTCTAATAAATAAATAAATAAATAGATACATACATAGATAATAAATATTCTGCACTCCAGCCTAGGCTACAGAGCAAGACCCTGTCTTTGTTTTTTTTTTTTGAGACAGAGTCTCACTGTGTTGCCCGGGCTAGAGTGCCGTGACGTCATCCTAGCTCACAGCAACCTCAAACTCCTGGGCTCAAGCGATCCTGCCTCAGCCTCCCTAGTAGCTGGGACTATAGGCATGCGCCACCATGCCCGGCTAATTTTTTCTATATATTTTTAGTTGTCCAATTAGTTTCTTTCTATTTTTAGTGGAGATGGGGTCTTGGTCTTGCTCAGGCTGGTCTTGAACTCCTGAGCTCAAACAATCCGCCTGCCTCAGCCTCCCAGAGTGCTGGGATTACAGGCGTGAGCCATCGCGCCTGGCCAAGACTCTGTCTTTAAAATAGATAGATAGCTAGATAAATGTTCTGCTAGCAAATAAGAAGGGGGAACAGCTATCAGGTGGGCAAAAAACAATATCTGCTACACAGTGATTGGGTTAACTTAAAGCCAAAGACCCTGTGGGTGCTGTCATTCTATGATATTTAAACCTCTCTCCAACTTGGGACACACTGATATTTTAAGACAGCATGCTGGTATTTTAAGCCTGGTATTTTAAGGCCTTCTTTTTTGAAGGTCTTTTGTATTAATATTCCTCCCCTCCCCACCCCCACCTCCCACGCCACATTATGTGAACCAAAAAACCTCATACCGGGGAAAGTTTTTCAAAATGCCATGTTCTAACTATATGAGCAAATTTTGTTATGCAAGTATCTATTTAGAATAGTACTATTTATTCTTCCAGAAGATAAATACAGCTCTTCCAGTGAGTGAGTTTAAGTTATGCCAAAAATCTCTAAAGAGCTGTATTTTGTAAATTAACCATTATAGGAGCTATGTTATTTATTTTTAGTGTAAGAAGAAAACTTAATATCGCATTTTGGTCAGATTAAGGTGAGGCTTTTAGCTATAGTTCCTCCCACTTTTCTTAACAAAAAAAAGTTAATTCTTATTCTGATTTACCTTGTAATAACTAATTTAAAACTTTTATTTTTATTTATCTTTTTAAGCTGAGAGAATGTACTCCAATAGATAAGAATTAAAGAAGGAAAAAAGAACATCTGTTTTGCTTAGGAATGTGCCCTCATTTGTATTTGTTTTACTTCATTTACACAAATCTAAAATGATTTGATACATTTTCTTTTTACATGTCTTAGAATTTAACTTGGGTCATCTACAAGTTTCCAAAGAAGTAGTAAATGATGTCATTCTCCCGAAATGGGCTAAGTCAGCTGAAGACTTCATCTATAAACATAGGAAAGCTCTGGTAAGGTTTTTGTGTTTAGAAATTAGACAGATTAATAAGATAAATATTTTCCAGAGGGTGGGATAAAGTATATCTGTTGTTAATTATTTTTCCATATTAATTTGTCATCTATTATATATGCTCTTTTTAGAAAGTACAACATAGTAATTTATTTTGAGGATCTGAATCTTCTGTTTTGTGTGATAGAATATAGTTGTATGAGTATATAGCAAAATATTAAATATTTCAGTTCTGTAAGATGTCTCCCTGCTATATATGGAACTATCTATCACTAAACTGGTACAGTTTGATGTTATGCAATTTTCAAACTTGTTTTGAATCTAACAAGATGAATACACTTTCTTTTTTTCTGAAGAATTTTGCTAAGCTTCTGATAAGAAAGACAGCTAAACCTAGGCTGGGAACAGTGGCTCAAACCTGTAATCCTAGCACTTTAGGAGGCGAAGGCAAGAGTATCACTTGAGGCCAGGAGTTCAAAACCAGCCTGAAAAGCATAGCATGACCCTGTCTGTACAAAAAAATTTTTTAAATAGCTGGGCATGGTGGTGCATGAGTATAGTCCCAGCTACTCAGGAGGCTGAGTCAGGAAGATCATTTGAGCCCAGGAGTTGGAAGTTGCAGTGAACTATGATGACACCACTGTATGCTAGCCTGGGCAACACAACAAAACTCTGTCTTTAAAAAAAAAAAAAGAAGAAAGAAAGGCAGCTAAATCCTAAATGCCACTTTAAAAAACTTACTAGTTTTTAGTTACATTTCTAATTTAGAATTGAAGGTCTAGTGAGGGTTAGTTTAACATTGTTATTGTGTTACTATCTTGTTGATGATGATGGCTCCATTTTTTTTCCCCATGATAGCCCACTTGTTCTCTATCTAAATTGAAATGTTGGCAGACTCTGAAACCAATTAGGTCAATACTTGGAAATATTCCTTGTCATTAGTATATAGTTGTCAAATTTACAAAATTCAGACTTAGATTATAATATTTGTAAGCATTAAACCTATATACGAATAAGGAATTGGAGAAAAATAAAGCAACTTTGAAAAATAGCCTGCTACTTATTAACTAGCCTGAATTTCTCAGGTCCTTTTCCCTAGGATGGGGAACCTGTGTGACTTTAAGGCCACATGCAGCCTTTTGACCAAAAGGCCAAATTTTACAGAACAAGTTCTTTTATTAAAAGGGGTGCATTAGAAAAAGAGGAAGCTTTTCTTGCCTTCTTTGGTTCTTAAATATAACAATCTTGAAATCAAAAGGCTGCTTTATAAAAAAAATGAGTTTAGCTGGGCTCGGTGGTACATGCCTATAGTCCCAGCTACTCAGGAGGCTGAGGCAGGAGAATCCCTTGAGCCTAGCAGTTCAAGGCCAACCTGGGCAACATAGCAAGACCCTGTCTGTCTCAAAAAAAAAAAAAGCACCACTTGTTCAGAAATGAATGATAGATTGCAATCTGGTAATACCCATGCCCTGGCAAACCAGGAGATGGGGTGGGGGAGGGTGGCCAAAGATATGCCCAGGGAGGCAAAGGAAGGCACCAGGGTTTTAAAGGTAAAATGAGGAAGGTTATTTAAATTGTTTTGAAACAGTAATCCGTGGCCACAAGGATTAACACATTGACTTCCATGCTAGGAAAAAAAAATCTTTTCCTTGGGGCCCCGGTGTTTTATTATGAAGATAGAATAAAAACTTCAAAAACAAAACCATCCTTTCTAATTTAATGAAAAATCTGTTATTTTTTATTCTTTTCTGTGTGTGAGTTATATGCAACTTCAAAAATAGTTCTCCTGGCTCCCGAAGTTATGTATGAGTTACATACGCTTCATGAGGCCACGGGCTCAAAACTAGCGTGAGTTAAATACAACTCACATGGCACTTAATGTGTTAATAACAAGGGTGACATCAGTCCAAGGTTAAACAGTCAGTTGCTGGACAAATGTCCTCACAGACGTATTCTTTGTGTGTGGTTACAGTGGCCTTTGTGCGAGGTTGTGGTTTTCACAGAGTTCTTGTAATAATTTTTATCATAGGCATGTGTGCATGAGAGTCTCTCCTTTATGGCCTCTCCAATCCATTTTGTTAGGCTTTGCCTAAGTGACTCCATTCTGATTCTGACAACTTTCACAACTCTATTAATATTAATAAGATGTTAGAAATATGTGTTTTAATTATGTATTGCTGTGTAACAAATTATCCCAAAATTCAGTGCCTTAAAAATATAGCCATTTTATCATGTCTTGCTGTTCTGTGGGTTGACTGGTCTCAATTGGACAGTTCTTGCTTGAGGTTCTCATGCAGTTGTAATCATCTGGCAGCTGAGGTTGGAATCACCTGAAGGTTGCATTGAGAGAGTAGATTGCTGGACTTTTCTCCCTCTCCAGGTAGTCTCAGGATATCTCCTCTCCATGTGGTCTCTCCACATGGGGTAGCCATGACTGGGTAGCCAGACTTCTTACGTGGCAGCTCAGGGATCCCCAAAAGTGAAAAAGTGGAAGCTTCCACACTTTCTTTTCTTTTTTTTTTTTGAGACAGAGTCTCACTGTGTT